GACTCTTCAATTGCATCAGGCAATTGATCATTGGGTGCAACACTCTGATTGAGAAAAGATTCAGATATTGAAACTTTCTGATATGAAGTGAACTCAGTTGAAATATGTGATTGATTTACTGTTTCAGTTTTATAAGATAATAAAGACAGTCTCAATCACTCATACACCAATGCTGCAGTCAGTCTGGTGAGTGTATAACAGTTTATTTACTCATCTTGAGAAGCAGTTGAATCACTTAAAAAGAAATTCAGTCTGGGATGATGCTATAGTGCAGGCTATTGTTGCTGTAAGGAATAAACTGGCATATTACTACAGCAAAATGGAACAATCTTTTGCAGAGTACTATGCTGTAGCAGCTCTACTAGATCCCTCTCATTGAGTTAACATCTACACTTCTCAAGATTGGACAGAGAAGGAATGAGACTCATATGTCAAATTAGCCTGAGACTACTACAATGCCAACTATCAGAGATTTGAATGAGCAGATGTTCAAGATGTGAAGACAGTGGAATATAATTCCCTAGTAAGTAATGATCTTTGGTAACACTTCATATCATATAGAACTATAATACTAACTTTGAAACAGGACTTGTATACATTGATTGCAACTGAAAATCAGGCAAAACTACATGCTTGTAAAACTGAATTTGACTGCTATCTTCAAGATGATCTGATGAATTTACATGCCAAATCAATTCTAGAGTTATGAAAAATTGTTGAGAGTACATATTCAACTGTTGCACTGATGGCGTGTGATATTCTGGCAATTCCATTGACAGGGGTGAGAATGGAGTGAAAGTTCAACTCAAGTCAAGATATTTATCACTATCATCAGAGACAATTACAAGGAGAAATAATCAAGAAACTCATGATTGTAAAACATAGAATTATCAGACAGTTTAATACCTCTGATCACAGTATATCAGAGAAGTGTAGTTTTCATGAGAAAGTGAAGGATAAACTTGCACAAGAATGTATTTAGTTGTTTCATGAGTGTTATCAATAATTGTTACCAAATTCTGATTATATAAGCAATCACTGAATGAACTGAATGGGACTGATTTTGATCTTCAGTCTCAGTCTCATTCTGATTTTGAAAGAATGATCATCTTTCACAGTTTATTCTGAAAAATTACTCTCATTTCACTGTTCTTGAATTAAATCTGGTCATTTTTCACACCATTTCTCTCAGAAATGGTTCATTTTCAGATTTTTTTGAGGCTTGATCCTGGTGGGACTCACGCCAAGAAATGTATGAAACCAGATCAAATGGGATCAAATGTGAAATTCATGGTCCCGGCGGCCAGTCTAATACACACAGTATATACTGAACTGAGAGACTGTATGAGTTATAAACTAGCATCAGTATCTCAGAGAGAGCTGTGCAGTGTGAGAAAGCTGTAACTCTCAGTTATATGTGTAGAGAGTGAATCATTGCAGTAAGTGTATATACATTGTATAAAAGTAATGCTTTTTAATAATACTCAGTCTCTGATATTATGAAAATAGAGTCTCTTCATGAGATCTGTTTTTATCAGAAGTCAGAGAATTTTATATTTCTCAAGATTATCTTCATCTGTCTTATCTATGAAATTGATGAGAGAAATTATTGATTTCAGTGTTCTACTCTTGATATTATTCAAGTGACAGCAGAGTTCATCCTGACCACACTTTTTAAGTATATGTTTTCTAAATATTCACATTTATACAGATATATACTGATTATTTATTAGATAATGTTAAGATAATGACTTATTACAGCTGTATTACTCTCACTGTGAGAGATACACAGTTAATAATGAATATTGTAAAGACTCTGAGAAGTGAGTATTTTAAGAGTGCTGCAGCTCTGTGATCTTGATTTTTTTTATTTTTATTTTTTATTTTTTTCTTTTTCTTTTCTTTTTTTTTTCTTTCTCTTTTTTTTTTTTTTTTATTCATTCTGATTTTTTCTTGTTTTTGTTTTGTTTTTTGTTTTTTGTTTTTTTTTTGTATTTTATATTTTTTTTATAATTAAAATTATATGAATTATAATCTATATTTAGAAAAGTAATAATATTTAATAATACTCTCTATTGAATTTTCAACAAATGAGCACTATATTATAATATTATGTAAGTGAGAAGTGATTTTATAGTCTCATTTAATACTATTCTCAATAATGAAATCAGAATGAAAATGTGACTAAGAATTCAAATATATTCTTTATTCAGAACTAGATTTTTATTTGAACAGTGAATCTGAAACCTTTAATATTTGAAATAATGTGATTTGAAATTAATGTGATGAATACAAATCATAATCAGAAGTAATGCTTTTAGATAACATGATAACTGTAAAGTTTGATTCTGGTCTCAGACACGGTCACACGGTCAGTCTAGTTATATTATACACTATCTTTATATAATAAATTATTCTAGAGATTAGTAAGAAGAGTAGAAGTATATATACTGAGAAATATAATTCACTGAGTCTATATAACATCTTCTTGAAACAGAGAGAGCTAGTAATAAAGGCAGCAGTAGAAGCAGAAGTAGTGAGAGTAGAGGTCACAGAAACAGAGATAGTAGAAGCAGAAGAATCAGACACAGAAATAGATATAGAAGATTAAGAGAGAGTGACAGAGAAAGAAATAGAGAGAGCAGAGAGAGATATAAGAGACTCAGTTATATATAACACAGACAATTTCTTCATTATTATGTTCTTCAAGTTCTCAATTAATAATTCAATATTGAGATATTTACTATTATTAGCAGACATGAATCTGTTAATATATAAAGATTCTATGTAAATAAAAATAAACATCAGCATCTGTATTCATATAAAATTATGTCAGAAAACACAATCAGAAGTCTGCTGAGAAGAAAAACAGTCAAGAGTGTATAAGAAGATAAAGAAGATATATTATTCATAATAATATATTCTGATAATTATTAGAAGAGAACAAGTTCTGATCATGTTTTATAATATATTATACTTACTGCTAATAAACTGTCTGATATGAGTACTATAATAACACTTATTATGAAAATGAGAGATTATCATCAGAAATACATATAATGTAATAGATAAACAGATAGAAGATATTAAACAGAAGAAGAGACAGAAATCTTGAATAAGATAATAGTATTTAATAATGATGATAATGAAGAAGATAATTAAAGAATAAGAAAAGTTAGTGAATAAGTGATATAATATAGTGAAAGTTTCTTTGTAAGAGTGTACATGAGACACTAGCTGAATCAGAGATAGACTATATAATTATAAACACTAGTGATACACTAATTTACATGAAGCTAGAGTGTATATTATAATCATGTGAGTGTGACTGAATCTGATGTGAGAGAATGTAATTTGAAAGAATGTACAACTGCTGAATAATAATGCAGCTGCTTCTGAACTTGCTTATGAATGTAAAGAGGTCATAGCAGCCATCAATTAATTTAGTGTACAGTATATAAGAAGCCGGTGTACACCTGTAATTGTACACTGACTCAAGCAATCTTTGAATTACATCTTCATATTCAGATACTTCTGAATTCAGTCATTTTCTTATAGCTGCTTGAGTTTCTGATAGAAAGTCTATTAAGTATTTAATTTCTATCTCAGTTGAGAATAGACTGACTGTGTAACCGTGTCTGAAACCAGAATCAGATTTTTTAATAGTTTTATTATCAATTCAACTGATCTCATTACACAGTTTTAACATTAAATAGTAGTCTTATACTGTCTCAGTGAGACATACTGTTTACTCTTATTATATTTTTCAAATAAGATCATGATTTTCACTTCTTAATTTAAATTATTTTTATTACTTTAAATGACTTTAAATCTTATTTAAGTGTTATTAAAAAGTGTTACTTTTAAAAAAATTAAAAATAGTCTAAAAAAACCTTAAAATGTTTAAAAATAGTAACTTTATACTAAGAATGAGATTAAATGAAATTAAATGAGATTACTTTCTTAATTTTTCTAAGTTATAGTCTTATTTTAAGATCTGATATATAGTTACTTTATATGTTTTTTTAATAATTAGTCTCAGTAGAATTCATGCTAAGAAATGTATGAGATCAGATTAAATGAGATTAAATATAAAATTCATAATTCTGATAATCAGTCTAGAAATTATTGATTTCAGTATTTTATTTTTAATATAATTTAAATAATAGCTGAGTTTATTTTAATTATATTTTTTAAATATATATATTTTAATTATTTATATTTATTTATATAAATATATACTGATTATTTATTAAATAGTAATAAAATAATAATTTATTATAACTGTATTATTTTTATTATAAAAAATACAGTTAATAATTAATATTATAAAAACTCTGAAAAATAAATATTCTAAAAATACTACAGATCTAAAATTATAATTTTTTTCATTTTAATATTTTAATATTTTAATTTTAATTTTTAATTTTTAATTATTTAATATTAATTATATAAATTATAAATTATTTTAATTTAAATTTTAAAAAAAATAATGATATTTAATAATATTTTCTATTAAATTTTCAATAAATAATCATTATATTATAATATTATATAAATAAAAAATAATTTTATAATTTTAATATTATTCTCAATAATAAAATCAGAATAAAAAATTTAATAAAAAGTTTAAAAATATTTTTTATTTGAAATTAAATTTTTAGTTAAAAAGTAAATCTGAAATCTTCAATATTTAAAATAAAGTGATTTGAAATTAATATAATAAATATAAACTGTAATTAAAAGTAATGTCTTTAAATAATATAATAACTGTAAAGTTTGATTCTGATCTCAGACATAATCACATAGCAGTCTACATATTACAGAGCATTTTGTATAGAAAAGTTGGTTTTTCTATAATAAAGAGAAGAAGATTATAGAAAAAATGTCTCTTTCATATGCTGACTAAGATAGCTGTGTGTGGTTATTTGAGGACCTTGGTAGAACATCAAGAAACATGTGTTTGAACATAGCAAATCCACCTTCACCTAAACCTCTATATGGTAACATCGATGATTCTTGATGCGCAAGTTTCCGTCTTGGAGCCTGCAGCTTCAGCCTTAGGCATCGGCTTGATGCTCCAAGGATCGCAATTTGGCCAGTGGCTTACTTGTCCCCGCAGGCTTGTGCCAGACATTACAATTGCCGAGCTCGCACTCGCCACCAGTTTGGTTGGCCTGCATTTGACAGCATTCTGCTCCTGGGCAGAGAGGTAAATATTAGGGGGAAATATTGTTCTCCGTTTTCATCCAAAGGCACTTAAAGGTGTCCCCGCGAGCACCCGAACACTTCTGGAGAAATGCAGGCGACTCTCTGGGTATATTTACCCTAACATTAGGGCCGAGTCCTATGCCAGGGGATCGAGCGCTATAGGCAGCTAGGCTAGCTTTGATCGGCAGATAAATTAAACCCTGGCTATCCGGATGCAGAGAAATATCATCGATTCGTCACCCAAAAGTGAGCAAATATCACAGCGAGCGCAGGCCGTAGTAACTCCTCCGCACGCGAGCCACTGACTGATTCAAAACATTATTGTGAGGGGAAAGACTCCGGCTCAGAATATCCTAGACAATAATTCTGCAACCCCTGGCAAGCGGATTCCTGGGTGATAGGCCGTTCCCCACGGATAAACTTTCAGGCCTCACTCGCTTTGAAGGACTCTTTCTAGCGTTGTTTTTGGAACGGTTTGGCCAGTCCCATCATCCATGCGAACCGATGACACTTTGCAATTTTAAGAGGAATGTCCTCAAGAATGGTGAGCGTTGAAACCTGCTGCCGCTGCCATCATCGTAATTCTTGTCGAGACCCTGTGCCAATGGAAACCAAGCCGCCTTTGGAGTACTCCGTACATCGCAATATATCATAATCGGCTATTAATTCGAGGTGAAAAGCAAGACATCTCCGACTTACCATCGATGCTACATGTTCATCCATGAATGTCAATTGTCGATTCCTGGGGCAGGAAACAGATGTGATTCCCGCGTGATATGAATCCCCCCTTCACCTCGTAGCCATCTCAATGGAGCGTTTTCTCTTCTTCTCTCAAATATATTCCACTTCCTCTGTCCGTGTTTGGGCAGCGTGAGGACGGGCTACCATGCGGAAACCCAAATGCTAAACTGAGCATGCTAAGGATCCTAGACGGGTATTCCCCCCACCCCACTCGAAGGATTGATCCCTTTTGGTGCGGTTGTTTACGCTCTCATCCTCAAGCGTATCACACGTACCAAATCCAATGGTGCCCGCGGCTCGCAAGTCAGTTACAAGTTAATTGAAGGATTGAAATCGAGCTACTTCTGCAAGATCCCCTAAATCTTGTTCGCGATGTTGTTTCTCCGTTAACGTTTGACAGGCGATGAGAGGCACTGGCGTCGGGGTGTCTCGGTGTCTTTGAAAATCCCCTTTCTCAGTTCTTCCATCTTCTGAACACGAGCAGCTACAATATTCCCTGTACAGCGTAGTTACTGGCCAAAAAATTTCCTCTTGCCGAACGCTAACGAAGTGATGCCTCCACTTGCAGCCCACTTGGCAATCAAATTACTGGCCAGAACTGTACTATGATCCTGTTTTTCCGAACGGAATCACCTACCTGCCCGAAAAGATTTGTTAATATCTATAATCGTGGAATACGAAATGAAATGCGTGACTAACCTATCCGGCCTGCCGTGGAGGGGTCTCACTTTGAAGGGAGTATGCCAATTTTGCCGAACTTAAACAAGACAACGCCGTCTTTGAAAGGACCTTGCACTCTGGATGGGGCCTGGTGAGCCGGCACGGGTTGAAAAATGTGGCGCGAGCGAAGTTACGTTGGCCGCGAAGAGAGCGGCCTTGGTCCTCATTTTCTCCTTCCATATCAACTTCATTCCGTTTCATCCGGCCCTGAATGGGAAACCCCGGATGTAGTCGGCCCTCAGTCACTTCTCAGAAGCCAAAATATCGAAATTCACTATACCGGTCATGGCACGATGCCCATGAACTGCATCACATGGTGGACATCGGCAAGGGAAAATTTACAATATATGCAACTGATGGTTCAATCTAAAACAGACTTTTACAGACTTCTGCAGTCTTGTCTCCATCTTGGGTCGCCGTTCTCATTAAGTGCAACATCGATGGTGGAGAGAATTGATGCAAGTTACTGCGTACCTTTTTTTGGTTTTGGAAATGGACTACAACCGAAGTTACAGCGAACTTTGATAAGTGCTTAATACTGCAAACCAGGGAAAATTCCCTCGGGGGGTACGGTAGGCCAAGGCCTCTTGAGGACTATGGATGCGTAGTTAAGAATGATAATCGACAACTGTTTCTACTGAATTTTGGTCCACCTCTTTCCTACGTCTCGGGCTGAAAGCTTGACCTTCGCAGCGCGTGGTCGATGTGAGATTGGAGCTCTTTGGGATAGGGATAAATAACCGGAAAATTAAATTATGCTCTAACCTTTGTCAACAGATCGGGAGCAAAGCTCACATTGTCACACTTACCGACTTCACTGTCTCTAGACAAACGAGAATTTCCCTAATGAGCATACGATTGGAATCAATTGTTTTATCCCTCAGAGAGAATATGGAATTTGGATGGTTTTCCCCTGAGAGGCGCCTTTTCTCCATCTATGGGCTGAATGTCAAAAACCAAACGAGCACAACCAATTCTCGGCAAACAAAATAATTCCCGGCCTTTCTCAATCCCAGATCTCAAGTCCGTATGAAAAACAGAGATAGTTTGCGTTAACCTTGCGAACCTTTCCCATACATATGCGAATACATTACTCGGAAAAAGAATTTGTACGCGAAATTCCTTGGGATACGATCCAGCGGCAAACAAATCAAATAGGCTTCTACATCTCCCTCACGCCGGATTTTGAAAGGCCAAGTCGGTGAATTCTTCCATTTGTTCAAATATCTTGTTCGCTGCATATTTCTAAATATTTCATGTATACTGGATCTGTTTTTGGAAATTAAAAAAGAATCTATCTATATATATATTTTTAACTCAGCCCTAACCGACGATTCTGAAGCGGAAGATGAGAAGTTGAGAAATAATCGCTATGATCAATTATGGATAAAATTGCCCATGTAACAAAAGTTGAATATGAGCCATGAATCTGGAGTGTTGAATTCCAGATGCAAAGATTGTTGAAGTCGGCAGGTGTCCATTGCCTTCGGACTGGACTGTGGGCTGATTTATTGCATACAGTCCCATAATCATCATCAAGAAGAGCGTGAAAGCATCTCATTCCCCAGCTTATAAAACTTTTGTGAACAATATAATTTTCTCCCTTTTCTATAGAATAGAATCGTAAACATTGTTTATACGGCGGATATTAGCCTACCCTTCGGGGACGTGTCCGTTTGGTTCCCGCGTTGAGTCTGTAGTTAGTACACAGGGACTCTGCAAAATTGCACAGCAGTAGGCCTCGGCAAAAATCCATATTGTTATCCACCGCGGGGCAGCTACAAATAATGGATTAAATAATCCGCTCTTATCTCTACGTCTGTGCCATGTTAAATACATTTTAGATTTATGTAAATCAATTCGATTCTAATAATGGTGAGGCTTTGAATTCGATTATCGAAAGCAAAATAAAAAACAAAGTGAGAAATATATCGCAATCCAGCAAGGAGACGAGGCTGTAAATAGTCCCACCATCCTTCGGCAAGAAGGAAAACAGAAAAGAATATACGGTGGTATTAAGAACCGAGAAGAAAGAAAGATAAACATGACCAACCTCCCCTCCCCTCCCTTCCACTCCGCGGATGGCATCGCCAACCTCCGTGACCTGGGCGGCTACGCAATTTCGCCTACTACATCCGTGCGGCGCAACTTCATTTTCCGCTGCGCTACTCTGTCCAACACCACACCCGAAGGTGCCAACTACCTTACCAGTAAACTCGGCATAACTACCATCTACGACTTCCGCTCTATCCCCGAGTGCGAGCGCTCCCCCTCAATCGACATACCCGGAGCAACCCGCCGCCACGTCCCCGTTTTCAAAGACCAGGATGCAAGTCCCGAAGGCCTTGCGTTGCGCTATATGGACTATGCCTCCTCTGACGGACCGCAAGGATTCATGCGCGCGTATGCAGAGATACTGAGGGCGGGCGCTGCGGGGGGAGCGTTCCGTGCTGTGTTTGAACATATCCGCGACAGGCCTGAGGAGCCGTTGTTGTTCCATTGTTCGGCCGGAAAGGACAGGACGGGTGTATGCGCCGCGCTGATTTTGCGGATCGCCGGGCTTCTGGATGATGAGGTTATTGGGCGAGAGTATGAGCTCACTGAGGCTGGGTTGGGTGAGTTGCGACAACAGTCTATTGATAGGGTGTTGGCTCATCTAGCTTTTGATGGTGATAGGGAGGGGGCGGAGAGGATGGTTTCAGCAAAGGCGGCGGCGATCATGGCGACAATGAAGTGGGTGGATGAGAAATATGCTGGGGCGGAGGGGTATTTGAAGAACGGGATGGGATTTAGTGATCAGGATATTGCGGCAATAAGGAAGAATTTGATAAAACAAGAGAAGGCGATCCTTTGAATGTATACAGTTTTGGGAAATGTGATGACTCACAACAAGATACGAATGCGGGCTTATAGATGAGATAGAAAGACAAAGATAGAAGTCTATGTTGTACATATATATACAACAGGCATGAGATACCCGGAACAGAATAACCTGAGCAGGGAGAACGAATCCCTGGCGTCCAGCGTCATTGATGAATTCCCGTGTCAGCAACATAATCGAAGTGAAAATCACCAGTTCTCCCAAATAACGTGAGGGAGAACTGTCCTCATAATACTCCAATGGCCAGCAGCGCTTTGAGAATGCCACCTTACCAAGTCTCCAACTTGGCCTTCTGCAAGGACATCCTGCTGGCCATCCTCGGCTTTTGCAAAAGAAGCAGCGTCAATTTCAAGTTGAGGCATCAGATACGCTTCCCTGGACTTGCTGCCGAGAAAGTCGGCATCGGTAGTGTTTCGGAACTCCAAGGGCGAATCCGTCAGTTTACAGAAGATAACCATATTGGTAAAATCGCCTTCCCTGGTATCTGCAGGCGGTTCGCTCTCACGGAATATCCGGCAACTTGGGAAAACAGCCCTGATCGTTCGAACAATAAGACCAGAAGAGGGTAGGGTCAAATCTCCAGCGTAGTTCTGTTGGATTTTGGGTCACTGTGTAAGCGAGGCTAAACGAAAGTATCAGGAGATAAAACGAGAATAAACTAACAATAGCAATAACGCCGTCTTCCTTCAGAAGCGAGCGGAGACCTTTCATAAACTCTATCGTGAACAAGCTAACTGGCTCTACTCCGCCAGTAAAAACATCGTGCACAATATAGTCAAATGTAGGGGCCGGAGTCGCTCTGCTTGCTTCGTCTACGAATTTGACCGCGTCTTGTATAACTGGTGTAAAGTTTTTTGGAAGGCTGAAGTAATCCTCAGCAAGATGGAGTACTGCAGGGTCTATCTCGACAACTGTTGTATCTATGCCGTGATTTACGAGTGCGGTGGGCGTTGTACCGATTCCGAGGCCGCTGTGTTTGAGATTAGCATAAATCATCCCAGCAAGGAATAAGCGATGAACTCATTTACACAACGAGAGAATTGGTCCCAGTGCCTCCCATCCTTGAACTTCCATCATCATTTTTGATCAACCTCACCGCCTCTAACATCGTAAAAATCGAATATATAGGCTCTCTGACTTCCGGATATTGCGCGTTAGGCATTTGGGTCCATTCTCCGCCTAAAAGACTATGATCACACCTCATCACCCTATAGTGTTCCTTGACGTTCTCCAAAACGGATAGGTATCCCGTCAATGACTCCTCTCGGTGCAACAAAACGAAATCTTCCGCTTGTAAGGTTGAGTTCAAAAGTGCCGTTGTATGCTTGAAAGGAAAGTGCACGTTATATCCAGACGAAAACAGCAATGGGGGTAACGCGAGCAATAACCATTTCGATGGGAGAGAAATGGCGTAAAGGGACGCAGTTATAAGTTGTAGCGGAATGCGAGCCATCAAGGCGTTCTTTCCAATATACCCAGGCAACAAAATACCAACAAACTTTTGGAGGGTGATAAAGAGAATATACGACCCAAAAAAGGGTCCATGATTCCCCAAAGTCTCACCGTACCGCCTCAAATCTGCGTCTTCAAGCAACATGGCCACTGAAGAGACGGACAAAAACACCAAAGGGAAATATGTGAGGAGTTCTGTCAAGAGAGGGCCATATACAACGCCCAGCTGGGCGCTTCGCATAAACAGGAAAAACTGAATAGTCGGAATTGTGAAGGCTAGCACCGGCAAGACGTTCATGATCTTTGTGGATAGCCGTTTCCTGATTTGGTCCTTTGCGAACCATCCACTGAGAGCAGCCACCATCATCCCCCTCTGGTGGAAGGCTGCTGATGGGACGGATCCATAGACTGGCGAGAGTGTCAATTGAGATATTGGAGAATAGGTGGCCGTAAGCACCAGAAGCAGAATAGCGAGGCCAATCAATTGAATAGTTTTTGGTGCGGAAAAGACTCGATTCTCGGTGCCCTGGGATTGTGAGGGTGGTTTCCGTTTATCTTCCACTTTCTGAGCGGACTTCCCACCCTTAGAGGGGGATTTTCTAGCTGGCATGGCAGCGGTACGGAACCAAAAATATATTTAAAAGTAATCCGAGTATCTCGCTCATCTATGAAAGACTAGTGCGATGAAGCAGAGCAGGAAGACTTGGATAGGTGGCAGGATCGAACGGGTCTTGAAATATTAAAATTATGTGGGGCATATGCCGCACAAAACAGCTGAAAGCTAACGAGCTTGGCTTCACCAAGGGACAGGTATAGCGGAGATTGGCAGTATACGCAGTATGATACAGGGAATTCAGAACGAGCTTGAGCTAGAAGACAGCAGAATGATCTATCATGAGCGTGTTGAAGCCAACTTGAGACTGGGATGAAGTTCAATATATTCTAATCAGGCTTAGCGTCAACTGGATGGTCCGGGCGCGTAGCCGCAACCTTAAGATCCGTCATTGGCGCCCGTACGTAGTTACCGTACGCCATCAGCGCCATTTCTTACTCGACCATTTCATATGGGCAGACATTGCCAAAGCTCACAAATTTGTCAGAATTTTGAAGAAACCCCCGTCTAGCAGAATGTGCTTGGGATGTCGGACACAGTGCCGTTCTTTCCAATGAATACAGGCACTTATATGCAGCCCCATAGCTGCAATAGACAGACAGATCAACCAGCTCAAGAACCACCACCTATAAATCCTCCTGCCTCTGTCCAAGTGAAGAATCGTCGGAAACGATATCTCGATGCGCACCCAGAGTACTTTTCTGCGGCTCTCGAACTAGCTGGTTAGCTTTTGTTTGTTCCTAACGTTAGTTTACATTCGCTGCTAACAGCTTTGGCAATAGACCCCCTTCTCTACGACCGCCTGATTAGACGATTCCAAAGTGCTACAGAGAGGGAGGAAGAAGGTCGCGCTAAGGGATACTCTGGCGTACTTGAAGCCGATCTATTGAGATCAGAGGCTAAAATGGAGGCACTGGCGCATCCAGACCCTAATGCGACCGTCACATACACCCGCGGGCCCAACGGCGAGATTCTCGCCGAGGATCAGGATGAGATACCAGAAACGAAGGAAGAGGGCGCTGAACGATGGCGCTGGGAAATGGAGCTGCGGTTTCTGAGGGGTGCGGATCATGAGTTTGATTACACCGCTGTTGATCAAAATGAGGAATATGATGACTGGAATGAAGAGCAAGAGCGGTATTTCGACGACGAGGAACCACATTTCATGCTTGATGAAGACGATGAAGGCCATCAAAAGGAAGAACTGAAAGGCGAAACTGGCATTCAAGACTTTTAAGATCTTTTGATGCCTTGCCACTGCGCTTTTACGGGTTGCCCATTTTGGACGACTCATGGGTTAAATGCCAAGCAGCGCCCTGGTTGTTGAGGCGCATCTTCTTCCGGGGACTATGAACCTGCTTCACATTTACCTTCGGAGTTCAAAGGAACTTGACAGGATACAACGGTACAGCTATGTCGATCTGGCAATCTTCTCCGTTGCAGGGTTCTCCATGTCAGCTGAAGGTTGTCTTGGATTCGGCACAACGCACAAGCCCTGGTCAGAATGAGGGGAAAGTTCATGACCCAGCGTACAGGCGGTACATTTGGGAATACCTAGCATTATCCAGAAATTCGGCTCCATATTCTTTCAATTATTCAACCGTACCGCAGATGCCATTTCCTGACGCTTAATAGCCTTTCTTCCCAATATCTGGCCTGATTCCCCATCATGTTGTTTCAACGCGGACAGCCCAAAGACAGCGAGCATGTTGATCAGATGCAAAATCCAGGAAATCTCGAGACGGGTGGGAAACCTCTTGTTGGTGTGATATTCTTTTTCGCATCGCAGATGTCTCGTAACATCCAAACTGCCAGAATCCCATCTGGCGTGGAGCCATCGTCTCACAGCCAATCTGAGCCACCAAAGGTGCACCGTCTCGACAACTTCTTATCAGAGGTTCAGGAACATGCACATGCAAGTCCACTTGTCACAAAATTCGAGACTATTCCGATTGAGATGGCTCCTCCTAGCCGCCCACGGGAAACAACTCGTGACGCCATGCACGACACGCTGTTGCTTGTCAATTTCAAGAACAAACAGGCATGGCAGGAATGGATTCAGACGAAATAATAGTAGGGTTTCATGTAGAAGACGGGGAGGGATGATGTTTTCAGACGCCTTCCCCATGTTACATGCGCCAATAGCTTAAAGGGTTTGAGGAACCCTCTTGAGGTCCTGATGGCCTGAATTGGAAGCAGTCACAAACAATGGTATGTTTGAAACGGAACCCGTTGTCTGTCAGATGGGATCTCAGAAAAAGAGGAAAAGAAGGCTAAAAGAGCGAATGAAGACCGACCGGTACATTACAGGAGCGAGTTGCCCATCGTTCTAAACAAGTACTATGGCTTTGTCGTTCTTTAATGGTCCCGAAAATGACTCAGTGAGCTTCCGAGGTGTCTGATAGAGCGTGCCTACCCTGACATTTACGGCGGGAGAAGCAGATGCAGCATTGCTGTCGTGCATTTCGGAGGTGTCCGTTTTAATGCCCTCTCCTTCAACCTGGAGGCCTTAAAAGTTGGTCGATGCATTCCGCAGTGAGGAGCCATACTAAATTGCGCATGGGGCTTCGTTCTTTTAAGTAGAAGACATACAATATGACAGACAGATCTGGCAATGCCAGGTTCAGGTTCTAACTTTCATCCTTCTATGCAAACGAACTCCCTTTCTCTCTCAAAAATTCTTCTGCCAATTTGCGACCTAGATATATAACTTATACATGCAGGCGTGAGGGCGACCTCACAAACTTAATCTATGCCATCAAAGGGAGAAGAACAAAATTGTCGCCATCCTAAGCCTCTCACCGAGGTAACAACCCATACACTGGTTATTTAAAATTTCAAGCGTTCAAAGTTTTTGCAGACGCTGCATCCGTATGGTATGGAATCAAACGTCGCCGTGACCATACCGTAAATACTCTGACATCCCTTACATACGCTGCGTACACTTCCATTCCCTGAAAGGAACAAGCCGAGCCACCTACAGAAAGGAAAAAACACGAGAAAAAGCAATGAGAATGGACCCTTGGAAGTTGGGGATGGAACAAAAAAGGAAGTGCGCCCCGTGGATCCCGTCCCTCCACGCACCCGCCCCTAGGTCTTGGCGCTCCGATCTACGCGTCCCCGGCCTTGGCTCTTGGCTCTTGGCGATGAGAGGACTTGGCAGCGTTGGTTTTCGGGGGCTTGTCATGTTTCTTCTGTGGAAGTGTAACCAAGAATTATTTGCTTGGCGATGCTTTGTTTTGCGTCTACCTCCTGAAGATTGTCTCTCTTCGTGCCAATGCAATTGGCTAATTGATGAGGTTCCAGTTGCGCTCCTTGGTGTATGACTGTTCAACTCGTTGTCGGTATGACTACTTACGGAGTAGATATGCCGTGGCTATGTTGATAGAAAATGAAGAGGCAGCGAGCTGTTGTGCGCCTTGTGGAAGGTTCGGCAAAGGCCCGATATCTAACCTCAATCACACGTTCAAGTCCGCATGCGACCTGATGAGAACTAGGAACTCTATAGAGACAATGAGAAAGACCAGGACCAAATAAACCAGGCAGTGCGTGAAGTGACTGATTTTCCTATCTTCCCCGATGTTCAAAGTGAAGACCACTATTCGCTCCTCCTTCTAGCTATCCGTGAATGCCGCTTGCTATTGGATTTCTTCCCAGATCTAACGACCAAAACGTCCCACAGCCAAGCTAACCATTCAGTCACCAATCCCGGCGAGGCATATTATCATTACACCGCCAAGTGTCTCACGTTCCTTTCCTGGGGAGATAAGGTATATGCAGTATCATTCCATGACTTGAGCTTACGCAACTTGTGCTTTCTCTTTGCCGCACGCCTCTCACACGGATTTCACCTCTCACAGATAGGCCAAGAAATACATGTGTGCGTGCATGCTTGCTCAACGCTCGACTGCTACAGGAAGCATTCCTGAAAACGTCAAGACGTCTTATTCCCCTGCACTCGTACAGATAACCGGATTCTTCCGTTTCGCCAGAGAATCTTATGTTAACCCTATCCACGACTACTACACAGTATTAGCAATGGGGCGTCGGAAGGTTTCAGGATTGACCTGAACCAGAAACAAGGCTTTTCTTTTCCCTTTCGCGCCCCCTGTGCTTGATGTAACTTATCTCAACAAATTACACCCAGGGTTGCAGGATGCGGACCTCGACTTTGACTATGTATCGGCAGGCTGCCGTTCTCGATCAATACACATCCGCGGGATGGTCGAAACAAAATGAAAAATAGGTGATGACATGTACTGAAGGAAGCAGCACCTCACCCAGCTGAAGACGGTAGACAAAATTCCATGCACATACTGTACAGTATATACAGTCCATGTGTTCGACTTCCAGAACTCCCAAAAGATTGCAGATCTGCATAAATTTATATTCATGCCATCATATCAAAACCCGCCTAGCCTGGATGTGCGATTTGATCGAATTCAGACCATTGTGCCATTCCTCCAGCTATCTTCTATGCCCTGCATATATTCTTTTGAAAGATGAAGCCAAAATCGTGGTCCTGCAACGGGACGTTTAGTTGGTCAAAAGAAAGTAGAACCCCACCCGGGTGGGGGGGTTAGCAACTCCCAGATTCGGGCGATGTTCTGTGTGCATGTCGCGCATGTCGCGTTATGTCTCATCTCTCTTTCAATTTTCCCCTACACGCCATCTACAACCAACAGAACATTATGTGCAAATGGGAAGAGATAAAGAATTACTGGATCTGCACGTATTCTCTGTAAGTCGGTATTTCTCTGTGAGTCGGTATTCTCTGTGAGTCGTGGAGCGAGGGAATGCAGCAGGTGATGTTGACGGTTGTGGTGGTGGTGATGAGACTGATGAAAACGATGACGCTGCAAAGCTTGGCTGCATAGGGTCTCTTCTTATTTTGGTTGTTGTTGTTCTCCTCAGAGGGTCCCCTGTGTCTGTATACCTTGTGTGGCACACGACTACGGCCCGACTACGGAGTACTCTGTACGAGAGGGAGGGACACAACAACCACATTTTCCTTTGCCAAGATGTTGAAGGCCAAGAAGGGCGGAGAATCAAAAATGAAACAAAGGGAAACCGGGTGGCCGGCGGAACGGCATTACAAGCCGGCGTACCTCAGTACGCTCCCGTATAGTTTTCCCTTCCCTCCGGTTGCCGTCCTTTGCCAAAATTGGAGGGGAAAGAAAAAACCAAATATGGTACCATCGCGAGGCACCCGCACCCGCTCCTATTCCGGATCTACATGTACTGTACATGTACATGTACAATGCAGAACCAGCCGAGAAAAACCACAAGGTTCGATTTCTTCGTTTGTCCACCACCGGAAGGAGGAAACAGAAAAAGAAGCCGACCTGCTGCGCCTCTTGTGCCTTAGGGAGGGAGAAAAACAAAAACTAGTGAAAAAATAAAATAAGGTTAAATAGCTTAATATTGTCTCTGACGAGTTTGTATGTATTGTAGATCATTGCACCCGAGGCAAGCATATGTTGACTCCGCCCCCGTTTACTCCATATGGAGAGAAGTCTTCACACTCAAAGTCGCCCTGCCAAGCAACTTCAATAATAGTTTGCCAAACTACGATCTGTACAGTATGTTTGCGCGTTCCTATTCTTGGCGTTTAACTCCCTGCGCGCTCCCGCACAATAGCCAGCACAGCAAAAGTATGGGTATACAGAGGAGCAGGGGATATAATGGACGTGAGGACTGGAGGACCCAAGGACGCCGCCCCCCCGTGAGAGACCACACATTGCAGGTGGTGTAATACCACGACACCCCAATCATCATCATCATCATGATCATCATCACCTTATCATCCCCCTTTTCATGGGAGATAGTTACCAGCAAACTATCCACGCCAAGACCCCAAAATTTAAATACCGACGCCCCAGCCAACCCGCCAAGCAAGCCACCCAGCTCCCGAAAGTTTGAAACCGATGGGATCTGCAGATCTCATCCCAGGATTAATTAGTTGCAGTCTGTAGAATTTCGGCCGAGCCGGGCGGCCCCGATTACGCGCCAAGGGGGGCTTGGACGTTGGAGAAGGCCCCGGCCCGGTGGGGGGGGAATGTGCTGTTGTTTTGTGTGTGTGTGTGTGTGTGTGTGTGTGGGTGTTCACCGCTGCTCAGATTGATGAAAAATTGCTGATGAGACTGTGACGGAGTGAGTTAGGTATTATTATGTATGTAGGTAGGTAGGCACAGCTGCGCCTTGGGAAATTGCGGAGTCTGGTTTTGCGTTAGCATGCCTCTTTTCTCTGTCTTCATCTTTCTCAAAATATAAAAGTAAACATTATTCATTCTATTCATTGTTATCAGGTTGGGTATGTATATACAGTAGCCGACGATGCTATCTAGGTACGGTACCCGAGCCACCATTGCGAATATATATATTAGGTATATATGTCACTGAAGCAAGATAGGCAAAGCACGCGTTGACAGGCAGAACGACAGTATCAATGTATTAGGTAGCAGAGGGAATAGTTAGAAAGGACAAGACAAGGGGGAAAGAAACTAGGAGCTAGTCTCAGAGAGACAACTGTGTGAACCAGAGGAGGGAAAGGGAAAACCACAAGAGAGATGGGGGGTAAAGTGTAAGAACGCTCCAAGCAAGCAAAATACACTCGTTGGTAAATAGTGTCTTCGCTGTTAAACTCAACTAACCCATTAATTACCCGGGTATTTCGAAGAGGGTTAACGAATTTGAAAAAGGTTTATGAAAAGAACAAAAGGATACAAAAAAAAGTGGGGGGAGGGTAATGAAACAACCACGCTCCTTCAATTATGTACCAAAAAAAAACCATAATTTCTCCATGTAAAGATTGAAGCGACAACCTAAAATCGATAGACTGGCCGGCTAGCAAAGGAGAAAAACGAAGAAAAGTAGTAGTATTAGTACGATTAATAGCCAGGGCATACAACAAAAGAAGCAGGGAATAAGAACAAAGCCACCATCGCGCCGCCGTGTATATGTACTGAGTCACGCAAGGAATATGTAAAATGAAAATAAATAACATAGATAAATAAAAAAATATTTTTGAAGCATGGGGTTTAAAATGCTATGAAAGTTAACGCAGGGTAGAAGGAAGACAAAGCCAACCCAACCAAAACATCCCAATGCAGGACACGAAAGAGGAATAGAAAATGAAAAAAAAAAAGAAAAAACCAATGGACATAAGTGAAACAAACAGTGGAACCGCAAGAAACCCCAGCCCACGCAATGTATGGTAAATAGTAAGAGAAAAATCATTTCAAGTTTCCACCCCGTAACCATCTACAAAGGGAAAGGTGATACATGATGAAAAAAAAGTCTTTCGCGTGAAGACAAAAGGGGATCAATCACGGGTAAGGAGGATGAGAGGGTGTAATTCTAGAAGAAAAATCGGAGTTACAACAGGATGAGTCGGGAAGCCTTTACTGGTATCCATCGCCCATGTCAAATCGATGTTGCGGGAGCAGTCTCTTTGAAGGTGGGAAATGGTTATGAGTTTTCTGCACCACCATCTTGCTAGCTAGTCTGTGACTGCCACTGCTAGCGACATCGATCGAAGTGACGACCTTGCCCGGTTCGATGGGTTCCGGAGCGCAGCATTCAATTGTTTTAAAAAAGCGGTCGTGCATGACCTCTTGGATAGTGGCACGTTTAGCAGGGTCCGGATGGAGCATCTTTAGAATGAGGCGTTTTAGGCCAAAATATTTAAGACGTCGGAAAAGTTCACCGCATTTCGGATACTCGTCCTCTGTGATGATTCTGTCCGGATTTTCCTTCAGGAACTTATTCCAGCCATTGAGGAAATTGGCGTATTGAACGTATTTGCTGTCAGCTGCTGGCCACGGGCTGCCGCGATATTGAAGGCAGAGGTAGACGATGGCGCATGACCAAATATCAAGAGGACGAGGGTCATATTTATCTATGTGTCACAGTCAGCGGCAGTGAAATTAAAAATTAAAAATACCAAGGCAAGAACACATGAAATTCTTACCCTTCTTTGCAAGAACTTCTGGGGCAATATATGGTAAACTACCACATATGCCCGGTGAGCACAGACGGACACCGTTCATCTCTTTACCACACCGTCCGCCAGAAGAGCGTAGGCCGGGATGGATACCACTGAATACCTCCGAGACGCCGAAGTCTGTTATTTTAATATGGCCCTCATCCGAAAGAAGTAAATTCTCCAACTTGATATCACGGTGAGCAATACCGTTTTCATGCAGATAGGCAATGCCGCGCACAGTTTGTTTGAAGAAGCAAAGGATGTCTATGTCGCCAAGATAATCCTTCTGGACTAGCGAAAATAGCTCCCCATAAGAGCACATCTCCATCACATGGTTCCAACGTCCATTGTGCGTACAAAGGCTAAATGTCTTGACGATATTAGGGTGATCTAGGCTTTTTGCAATCGAATACTCAGATTTGACCTTCTTGATATATTCATCCTCGTCCTCATGTTGTCCACGTTTCCTAAACTCTTTTACCGCATACAGATCGTGTCTTTTCCCGCCTTTCCGACACATCACCTTGACGGTTGCAGTCGCACCTTTCCCGATTTCTTTGGCCCTCTTCCCTGGAACCCGGCTGGCCCTAACGTACTCTTCGTCTAATTCGCACGTGTCGACGTCAAAGTCGTCTGGAAAACTTGCGCTCATCCGACGTGACTTCAACCCCACACCCTCGACAGCGGGTATCGAAAACCCAGGGCGTTCCGGTTGGCTCCGCACATCACTCAGGCTCGGGGATCGTATTCTCTGACCAATTCTGTTGGGTCTGGGAGTCGAACCGAACATGATCTTGCTCCTTTTTTTCAAACTTAGTCCCGTCGATGCTCGAGCTGGTTTCCTATGGACGAAACTAGACTCGGAAGGCGTTGAGCTGCTTAGCAGGACGGCAGCAACACCGTTAAACGTACTTGAAGGTGAGGATGGCGATTGTGGTGACCCCGAACGTGACGTGGTTGTTGGTGAATTTCGGGAGGGGAATGGCACAGTACCATGATGGATGATGTTGGTGACTATCGAGATATTATGGGCGTGGGAAGTTCCTGGCAGGTTAGAAGAGTTTGAAGTGTGTGCGGCAGACTCCTCCAAGCCATCAGCACTGCCCTTTTTCTTCCGGAAAAGCGACTTGATAGACTTGGACGCAGTTCTCAAAGGTGATGCGCGGCGGGTCGGGGACAATGAGGCAGCTTCGGGAATACCGTTTGCGGGACGAGTCGAAGATTTTGATGTAGAGTGAGGGGGAGCATCGGTGTTGACAACAAGCGGCTTCGACGCCGTGTCAAGGTGTGGATGACCATTGTTGAATGGAGTCTCGTTGATAGTACTCGTAGGAGTCAAGGGTTCAGGAGGCTCACTAGCGGTCTCTTCGTCCTCTTCCACGATAGCCTGTGGTAGGTCTGCAAGACGGATACCTTCGAATTCCGGATCTGCTGTCAGCATCAGACTTGAAAAGGATGCTGTGAGCTGGGAATCGGCCTGGTCAGGAATGCCGGCTGGTGAGTGGCCCTCGGATGGGTGCACAACATGACTTGATGTGATTGGACCCGACATGATTGTTTATAACAACCCCAAATCTCTTTCCTTCGTTATACACCCCCCAAACAAATGCAGGGTCAGAAGAGGTCTAGGGGTCGACGGAGTAGGAAAATTGGTCGTGTCCAGCCAGACGGATAAACTGTTGTTTTAATACTTTGGTTCCTATTTTTATTTTTATTTTTTATCTTTTTTTTCTGTATCGTTTTTGATTTGTCCCCGGCTAGCTACCTAGGCAGTATTCGAAACGCTCGAGGATATGAGTGGTCAACGGATGGATGTAGTTTCGTGTTATTTGGGGTATCTGGTTTGAAAGAAATCGAATGACGGTTCTCTACCGGGATGGCGGAGAGAAGTCAAGTGATCAAGGATTTAGGATAGGATATAAATTAAATGGAGAAGACGGCCGCCTGGAAACCCGTCCAAGAAGAACAGGTCTTCAAGAAGAATTGACGGGGCGGAATAAGGAGAAGTGCGGCTAATCCCTCTGGAGAGAACTGAAGCGGCCAGAGGGGGAGAAGAGGTGTCGCGGGGCGAAGGTGAGGGACGTCGGGGAGCAGATTGAATATATAGAACCCATCAGAAAACCAGATAGCAGATATACAGGTTGTTGGATAGTTTGGTTTGGTTGGAGAAAGGGAGGGTATGGAATTGGTGCTCGTTGGACAGTAGAGTGGAGAGTATAGTGCACAGAAAGAAAGTAAGTATAAAAATCAGTCGTAGGTAGGAGCAGAAGAGCGGAGAGATAGGAAGACGAACAGACAGGACAGGGAAGAGCAAGAAGAAGGAAGGGAAGAAGAGCAAGAAGAAGGAAGGGAAAAGGAAGAAGCGGAGGAGACAAAAGATAAAAGATAGCCAAGTAGGCACGCCTGAGAAGAAGCAAGTCGAAGTTGGTTGTAGTAACTTAGTGATGCAAAGTGTAGTTTGGAGATCGAGACGAGACAAGACCTTGGGAGGGAATTACTTGCTACTATTATGGGAGGGAGGATTGGCGGAGGGAGGGGGGCAACGCTTATTGCGGCCGAACTAGCTCTGTACCGTATCTATGTACCGTATGCAGGATGTAAGTTATCGTAATCGCTGCAAAAAAAGTAAAATAAAGACGATGATGTCGGGATGATGTCCAAGACTCGGGTGTTACTGGCCACAGGTACCGCAAATTACATTACGATCGCCTCCCTTGTACGGTACATACCATACCATACCGTCTGTATGTATTCTGTAATCCTGTATTCGTGAATTGAAAATCGCCTGGCTTGGCCATGGGATGAAGAAATTTCTCGAGCGATCCTCGGCATAAAAAAAAAAATAGAAAAGATAAAACTCCAGCAAAACCATATCATCTTATCATCCACCCCGTGTATTCGCAAATTTCGCTAGATCGGGGTGGAAGATATGCCGTTTTCTTAAGGTTTTGCAGGAATTCAGAGTCCCGCTCCGACCGATATACAAATAATCCAAGAGAGAGTGACAATCGTTTTTACAGCCAGCGCCAGACTTCGCCTGCATCATTCATACGGAGAGCCCCAAAACGAAGCTCCCTCCTGCGCAGCCTCATGCTCAACATGGCAGCGCAGCACCGTGGCTGTTCATTCATCTATTCATCCAGCTCCCCAAGCTAACACCTAGGAAGCACGTACTCTGTAGCTGAGCAAAATGATCCAGCTTAGGACGACGACGATGATGCGGCCGCCTCGTGTTCTCTTTTAAGATCGCCGTTCGAGGGTCGCTCGCCATGGTCTTTTCCTTCTCACTTTCTTCCCCATACATTTTCCCGCCATTTAGTTGCATCTCAGTTAAGGAGTATTGAGTTCGGCGGTCGTTTGGGTGAGTTTTCGGGACTAAACCCTATTTTATATGTATATATATGTATAATAGAAATTGATGATAAGGTTCGGTTACAAGAACGATGACAACCCACCACTACGGAAATGTATCGATCACTAATTGCTGGGTGGTTAAGCTTGTTGCTACAATACAGAGAAACTGAAAGCGGTCAGGGTGATAGAACGGTGGGCAAAGACAAATAAGGAAAATGAATTCGAGATCTGGACTTTGATGGACAGTTTGGGAGAGGAATATGATGGATTGAAATTTGAATGAGAAGACACTCTAAAAGTGCATACAACAAATGCATACTAATTTCCTGAGGTATGTATGTATGATATTATTGATACCAAACTTATTACTTATCCACTGCACAAGTAATCCGTATAGTTTATCAGTATGATGTACCACGGTACCTTGGTACACGGTACAATATTAAAAGTTAACTGCCATTATTAGCACAGATTATTGATGCCGCCTCCACTGTTACCACCATCACAATGCCAAACCTGAGCAAAAGAAACCCATCCCATCCCGCTCAAAGCCAAAGAAAGAGAGAAAAGAAAGGGGAAAAAAAGTCCCATCCTATCAAGAATTCCATCACAACAAACCAGCCAAGGCAGCCAAGAACGAAGGGCCAAGCAAGCAAGGGTTTGGTTACTTAGTGCAACGTATATAACAAAAAAAAAAAAAAGAAGGGTCCTCCTCGCTATGACCAGCATCTCTCTCCCAACAACCCCGGTTCTCACAAACATGAATTATCCCACCCATCTTACTTCTAATTCTTGGCTTTTGGCTTTTTTTTTTTTTTTTTTTTTTTTTTGGTTTGCCAGCGGACCTTCGAGAGTACTACTGTGCTACTACGCAGCGTAAGTGTGGACATCATTATTCTGTGCTTTCTTGGCGGCTGGGCGGGGGGAGTGGGATATAAACCTTGAACCTCGAATCTTGGATCGCCGCTTGAATTATTATTAAACAGGCAAATTTGGCCGGTTCCGGGGGCTCAATGTTATTCTAGAAAGGAAAAAGAAGGCAACCAAAAAAAGAAGACCTTGAAAGTTTAAAATATTAGCCTAACTATTCCTGGACCGACCCGGTGTGTCGGGCAAAAATCGTGCCGTCCGCCATGGTATAATGTATGTAATAGGCCGTAATTATACGGGTCCTGTATTGAAAGATTCCGTATCATTTCTCCGTCCAAAACACCCAAGAAACATTTGCCCATCATTCTCATCCATGGGAAGTCTTTTCTCCGCATTTCTTCGTTCCCGCATTATTACGTGCATAATTAACCGTCCAAGCGCGATTTGAAGGAGGAAAATACTAAAAATAAAAACCAATCGAGAAATGCGTATAGGAAATCCAAGCACCCGTGCACAGCGTATACCATTCCTAGTAGCGTTCACTTTTCAGGGCTGACTTCTATCTGCTGACGACTGACTGACTGACTGCCTTGGTATTACTGTGACGATGAGGAAAATGTGGTGGGGGAAGGCGTCAGCAGTCCCTTCTCCGCGGGGTATTGGCTGCTCTGGTGCTACCTAGCTAGTAGTGGGTAGGTATTATTATTGTATCATTCTGACGACGCAAAGGCTAAGATACCCTACTATGCTATGTACTGTGACTCTGTGAGTTGTGTCGGTGAGTCGGGATCGGGGGGGGAAGACAAAATCACGATATCTTGATCTGACCTTTTTTTGTTGATGACTACACATTGACATAACTAAAACACCACCTCACCTCCCCTCAACCTCTCAACCTCACCGGCTTGGCCCCTGTGAGGGAAACAGAAAAATCCTGAACAAAACTGAAACCAACACAAAGCAATAATGCCAGCCTCCAGTCACTTCTACCCATAGTTACCTCCGCAAAACACCCGCAAAAGAAAAGAAACCAACAGGCAAAGAGAAGGGGGCGCGCGTTTTTCGCCCCGATTTTCGTCATGATTGCGACGATCTGAAACCCCATCAACAAACACTCCCCCCCAAAACCGCCCGGCTGATTATTCGCCGCTTGATTCCTTGTTTACCTCACATTGCCTCACCTTTGAATCCATCAATATAATCTAATTAAATAGGAATAATAATAGCCCACGCTTCGATTGGCAGGGTTTGGTTTGGCTGGCGTTGAAAATCATCGGAGCGAGGGATATTTTTCCTTCTCCCCGTTGCTTGTTTAGGATCAGGATGCATTCGGTTATGCGTGGCCCGCGCGTCTTCGGAAGCCTCGTCCCTCGTTTGCCCCGACCCCGGCCGCATACGCCCGCATAAACACCTCTCCCACGTTACAGCAGTGGGATAGTGGAAGGCGTGGGTTGTCCTCTATTTTTTTTTCTTTTTCTTTTTCTTTTCTTTTTTTTTTTTTTTTTTTTTCAAAATAAATGCGGTAGGAGAATAGAGGAATAAAGGAATAAGAACAAGAAGAAGAAATGTTTCTAGGTGGGGATAGTAAATAATAAATGATATCACTTTCAAAAAACTGAGGTCTACCCACATGTAAACACTCATCTCCATCCATCCATCCAATTCATTACCATGTCAAAATTTGCTTCGCATGCTTGCGCGGGCAGCGGTTGTTTCATCCGTCCTGAGCGGGACAACCTACATACATAGTAAAGCATTGATCGATTGAGGTATGTATGTAATCCGGAAGCTGCAACTCGTCGGTATTTTTATTATTATTTTTATTTTATTTATTATTATTATTTACAAGCATCAAATGCTCGCTTACGCTCGCTTTGCTGCTTGCGCAGCCCCCTCTACCACTTCCACTCTCCACATCTATCCCTCCTCTTACCACCCTTTCACCA